AAAAAAAGGGGGGGGGGTTTGAGGGGAGGGTAAAAAACTGTGGTAGGCATTTGCTATCTCAAGTTGTCATTGCCCACTGACTGTATTTAAAATGCTGTTCCGAAGCAGAAACAAGCTGTACTGAAGCAAGGGGGAGTTTCTGTAGATTGCTATGAATGAGTACACTTTTTTTGTTGTACTGTGCCTCTTATTGTTGGTTCTAATGAAGAAATGAGAATATATATTTGGATCTGCAATCTTACGTTGAGTTTGCACCATTTGAACTGTTTTTTTAATCTTGTGTTACTTATTGCTATAGTATTAGTCTTAGCCCAATCTTAAGCACCCCAGAGGCATAAAATGCACTCCTTGCCCGTCTCTTTCAGTTTTCCTGAGATACCTTGTATTTTATGAAACAGATACCAAATGAAAAAAATGGAAAATAGAGGAAGAAAATAATAACAAGCATTTGTTTCTGTAAAACTAATAGCAAGTTTTAATGATCTAAATACAGATTTAACATTGTTAGAACTACTTTTGAATCAGTTCAAAACCATGCCAATATAAAATTTCAGGTTGCAGTTAAAAAAAATAACTGGTAATAGTGAAGTCTTCAAGAATTGTTTTTAATTGCCTTTTAGTTATGTATTCAGGATATCATCTCAAATTTAATTATACTTTTCCTTCATCCACCACCTTCTTTTTCAAATCTGTTAAATTGCCTCATTCCTGTCCAACTTGCACTACATAAAAGCAGTTTTAGTAGCATGACCAAATCTGATTGTGAAGGCAGTAAAAATGGTCCTGCTTAAAGTAAAAATGCTGGTTTAGCTACTGGCCTGCTATAAGACAAGCTATATGGTTTGTTCATGACACAGTAAATAATGACCTAAACAAAAGCATTTTACATGGATTTTGGAATTTTAAGAGAAGTGTGACTGTTGTGTGGTAAACTGTATTTGTTGGCTTAAACACATTGTCTTCAGCTGAAATCCCATGCTGTAAGTCTTCACAGTTTTGACTATAACAAAATCAATTTGCTAGTTCTACCATTGATGATGTTGTATATGCATTAATTTTAGATGGCTTTGCAGTTTTTTTCTTATGAAGATTTTTGATTATCCAAAGGGAACTCTTTCTGCTAACATATCAAACATCTTAGCATAGCACATTTAGTCTTGCTTGCTTTTGATTATTTTCTTTTTACCATGTTGATCATTCTGGAAGCCGAGCAAGATGTAGATTATCATACTGAATAATAATTGCAGTTACCAGGAGATGTCAGGGTTGCTCAAAGATAATGTTTATTCACGTCCACTTTATGCAAATATAGTATTTCTATACATTCGCAATTCATTTGAAAGGAAAAGTGGTAAAGGCAGTGTGTGGATTTCTGTAATGGCATGGACACAGACCTGTGGAAGAATGCGGTGGGAAATGGTCCTCAGAATATTCCCATCTCCCCTTCCAAGGGAAAATGTACTTATAGTATTTCAGTGTACCCCAGTGCTTTAATTATAGTTAATCAGTCATTTTAAATGTCTTTGAGATACTTCAAATTATAAGTGCCTTTGTTGGACACCATAGAAGGGGTGGGGGGTGGGAATCAGGACTTGGCCCTTCTGTAAATTCCTGAGGAAAATAATAATCTACAAAACAACTACAGGCTCCTTTTGATTACTTAAGTGTAAAGCTCATCTTTTATTCTACTTTATTCATGTTTCAAAAATTCTGGAAGGTAGTAACCACATGAGGAAGGAGTCTGCATACAATAATATTGAAGACTATTACCTTCTTCAGCTTTTAAAACAAGAATTACTATTGGTATTAGTCTTCATTAAGAGCAGCTATTCTGTAATATCTGACTGAATAATAGTGGCAACAATTTTTTTTTACACTCATCTCTCCAGACTTTATAACAGCATTCATTCTTATTGGACATGGTGCTTATTAATTTTCTGGTCTTTTACAGGTTGGTCCTCCGCAGTTTGTTACAGCCACAACTACAGTAACACCTTCAATCCTCTTGTCTCCTAGTGTTTTTCAGCAATCAGCTACAAAAGCTACTGAAGTGGAGAATAAAGCAAATTCTTCTTCACCTTTAACACTTGGAACAACTGAAATTCAGACTATACCTCCTACTGTTCTCAGTAGGTCTCAGCTTCAAGAAGCACTGATACATCTAATAAAGGTCCTGTCTTTACAGAGTTCAATTCCTGAGGGATGGGGTTCCAAGTACAGTAGCCAGTACTGAGAAATTCTGTACCCCTGTAACTCTTTTTTCCCTGAGACAGTACAAAAGTTGTTCCTTTCTGGTGGAAGGGGTAGGTTACTTCACACTGCACACATAGTATGGCACAGCTTGCTCCTTCTGGTTGCAAGATGGAGGACTCGGGACAGAGCTGTACATCAGATGTGTCCTGTCACATCCATATGACTTTGTGGACAAGTGAGGAAAAACTTGCACTAGTAGAAACCCTGGTGTGGGGATGGGGGGATTGGTTTTGTGTCTTTGTAAGTGTGCCTGCTTTCACAAGGAAAGCTTTCCTGTTTCCAGTTCCCTAGAGCTGTTCCTGATCTTTAAACAAAGTATGTGACTTTGAAATGGAAATTGCAAAGTTCTGGTTCTGCTGTTTCTAGGGACTAAGAAGTTTAGTTAAATCTGTGACATTGGGAGTGGCCATACATTGAGATAATTTTGACCTCTACTGTCGTAGAGTTGTCATGAATGACAAACTGTTCTTTGTTAATCAGGATTCTTTTGCCCCCTCCGTGCTGATGTTAGAGTTTACACCCAAAATGCAAGTCTAAAATTTTAAAAACAATATCTTCTCAGTGATAAAGTTGTTAGGACCAAAAAGGGTCACTCCCAGATCCCATCATTAGCTAGGTTGCCTGATTTATATGTGTTGTTACTTTTTGCGTAACCTTTTTGTGTATTGGTGTGTATGTTTGGGGGTTTTTTTTCTCTTTCAAGATTTAAACTAGCCTACTTGTAAATCTTGCAACTGAGCTCAACTGCCAGAAGTCTTATTTTCATTAGAAACATAGGGCACTGATTCTCATCGAGTAGTCTCAAGAACGTCTTTGTGGTGACTTTAGAGAGCTGCCTGGAATATTTGTCGCCAGTTTTCTCTTTCTCTAGAGAGAGAGAGCTGAATGAAGGCCATGGTACGCATACCCTGCAGCATGGGAGTGCTTGCGCGGCACTCCAAGCAGGATACCAAATTTGCTGTGCAGATCTTGTAAAGAGAGTATTATATCTTCAAGCTAGCTCAAGAGATACCAGTTTTGTAAACTTGGCATTTGAAGGAATTAGACTCAAGAAATATTTCTAAATACTGTCCACTGATTAAACTGATTCACTTCTCAGTCATGCTTTGACATGAGAATTCTTGTATAACACACTACAATCCCTTTCAGGCTGGTCTGACAAACAAAAATAACATTACTTCTGACACTCATGCAGACTTGATTTGGGAGCTTGTACACAGGATGGAATTTTCTGTGTCTAAGACTAAGATTTAGACTCTGGAGTGAAGTGAAATTATGCATCCGGGGCTGACCTAGTGACCCCTGTTTTGGTTGTTTGAGCAGTGTGCTTAGTGATCTCTAGCTCTTACCAGCTTCATGGTTCAAAGTCTGCATGTTGTCTGAAAGCATTGCCTTTTGTACAAGTGCGCAGCTAGTTCCCTTAACTCTCAGATAGCTAGCACTATAAGGAATCCTTACGCACAACTTCAATGGCATTAAATTAAAGGGGGTTTGCATCTTTTTGCTAATGTTTCTAATGTGTTGTTTGTTTTTTTTCATGCAGAACGATTCACGTTTTCTCAGCACTATTCATGAAGTCTACTTGCAAGTCCTAACCAAGAATACAGACAACATTAAGCTATAATTGAAGCTAAATCTACTTAAAATATATCAGTTTTAAAAACAATTATGCCTCATCTATAAAACTAATATTTTTGTAAAAGAATATTTAGTTTTCAATGTCTTGAATATGAACCTGTGAGGAAAGACTATTCCTTAAATACTTATGAAAGTAATGTTCTCAGAAGTGATCTAGGTTTTCACTGTGATCATCACCAGCAAACCTTTGATTTTATTGGGGAGGGGACTTAAGTTGCATTTGAGCTCTCATTAGCATTAAGTGAATGTGCAAATGTTTGCTCTGGCTGTCATTCCTAGCTGTATTCACTGTTCAAGGGTTACAGACTCAATACTATTTAAACCAGCAATTACATAGTACAGTACACTACACCACAACAGAACAAAATTCAGTTGTGGGAACCTAATTCCAGTTTGAAGGACTGATGAAAAAGAGAGCAAAATGCCTTGTGATTAAATCGGTGGGTGTGGGCAAAGAATGAATCTGGACGTCAGGCAGGCCTTTGGAGCTGAATCTTTAACAAAGGGTTTAAAAATGTGATTTACTCAATACATTGACAGCATCTAGCTAATGCACACAAATTTATCTCTTAAATATTCCATTAATCTTACTTGCTTCTACATCACTGACATTAAACAGGTATCCAAGTGAGTAAGGCCATTTTCTCTAGAATGGCAAGATTTGAAATATGCAAAATCCTCAGTGATTGTAATGGGCTTTTTAAGCAACAGAGTAGTTCTGTTGCATGTTGAATTTTTCTTGTTTTAAATTTATAGTTAGAAGACCACCACTGGAAGGCACTCTTCCTGTCCAGCAGTGTTAAATATAATTTAAATACTTTGTTTCCCTTTTAGCTTAAGGATGGACCATGTCATTCCTCAGCTGTGTTGGAACTGCAGTGTTGAAAACTATGCAGATGGGCCACAAATGCATGCTTTTCTTCTGTTGGCCTCTCCCCATGTTGGTAGTGCACACTTCATAGTCTGAAGTTTATCTAATCAAAATGCTATCACTTCTTATATGTGATTTAGTAATTCACTAATGTAAGAATTTAACTGGATACTTTTCCATTTGAAATCAGAAAATTTCTAATTCTAGTTTCTTATGCTGCTGTGTTGGTTTACCCATGGCTTGTATTTATTTCTTAAAGGCATGCAAAGGTAATTAATAAGACTTCAGGTCCCAACTTTCTTCAGCAATAGTAGTTTTAAAGGATGCTTTTCCAGTAGAAAAGTTTTGGTTTATTGAGTAAAAAGATAATCTGTAGTGAGCTATGATGCACTGCTTCTTTCTTTTCCCTCAAGCACTATTGAAATATGAAGAAAAAAATTGACTCCGTACAACATATATGTATGTGTATATATCCTAAGGATTAGTTAATGTTGCAGTCAAGGTGCATGGTCATTTCATTGGAAACTCGTAATTGAGCTTTAATTGTGACTTGTTCACAGATTGGTATGTTTTAGATACAACAGATATTTACATTTTTACGTATTTTAGTTTTTTCATAGCTTTTTAGTGGAAAATATATTTTGTTTAGCACTACCTGCCTTCTGAAAAGCTCTTCTCAGTCTTTGAGTTCAGTGTTTCCAGTTAAAATATATAGTGTTTTGTTAGAAAAATGTGCAAGATTCAGGGAAGGATGCTAGTGTCATGCACATTCATCAAGAAATATATTGGCTTTAATGGTAGCATTTGAATTCAGCAATATAAACTCAGCGTTGTTAAGGAAGATAGGAGCTTCCTACATAAATTCTGGAGTTATAATACTGTGTATGTGCATAAACAATGAGACTCAAATTAGATCTAAGATCTTAACTAATATGTTTTGTTGGCTTTTTTAGAAAAAAGTTTCACTAAAAGGGACAAACCAATGAGCAGTTATTCTGAATAAAAATGGGTAATCTAAACCAAACAGAGTTGCTTTTCATCTGGATTTAGCAAAGATGAAGTCTGTAACTTCTCACTTCTTATGAACAGCTTCTGTTTTCTTCAAAGAAAAATTTGATAGAAGTTTCTAAGATAAAAATACTGGAAGCTGTTACTGCATATTTGTACTGTTTGCTAAATACAGTCATATCCAAAGATCTATAGAAATGCTAGGAAGGAGTTGTATTCTGAGTTTTTTCAGTCATATATAGTTGACAAAAGTAATACTGTTCGGAGTAGCAGTGCTGTTATGAGCATTTAACTCTACTCTGTATATCCTTAACTTTGTTTCCAGCTGTCCAGGAACCCCCACAAGTAGTTGGCAGATCCTTACTTTACTCTGGCTTTGTAGTATGTTAGTAACAATACATTATTGGTTTACTTCGGTCCCCCACCTTTCAAAACGAATTGGAAGAGAAACAGTTGAAATCGTAGTTACTAGGCAGGCATTTTTACAACAAGTAAACCTGTTCATCTTTGAACACCTGCTCATGTTTGTTCTGACCTCTCTGTGTAGCAAACAGACCCTGTAACCAACCTAGGTGTCATCCAGTACACCACAGAGATTTATGACAAGTGCCGGAGTAGTGGGTTTAACAGATAAAACTCTAATGAAGGATTGTATTGTAAAACAGCAGCTCAACTACAGTGTAAAATTTGAACTTTTTTTAAAATGCGGACTGTTATTTAACAACTTCTGTTTCCCTGATTATTTTAGCTTTTTGTATAAATCTAAAATTACCAGTTTATCAAAGTGCTTGATTCGTGTTATCCACATGTAAGGATAACTAGTGTGTAGCAAGTTACCATGGGTCATCACGGGAAATTATTGTGACCATTTTCAAGTGATTTTTTTTTTTTTTTTTTTTTAAACTACTGGGATTTTACCTATTCCTATTAGTTCTGAGAATTAAAAGATTATTAGTTTAGACTATACTCTCCAAATTAATTGTATTATCTAAGTGTGTGTTTTGTGGCTAGCCTTAAGTCACTTTAAAAAAGAAAAAACAACAACAACAAAACAACCAAACAAACAAAACCCCAAACTCAAACCTAATCCAGACAGTTTTAAAACCTACAGCTGCTGAATTGTTCAGGAAAATTAAAATTTTTCAGTTCTGTAGTTAGACTTCATCTACTGTCATTTAATAATGCAAAGTTTATATGAAAGGTGCCTAACAGCTATTAACTTAGAAGCAGTATATCTTTCCAAATTAAACAAGATTTACAGAATGACTGAATAAATTTTAAAAGCAAAACAAGTGATTCATCTTGATTTCATATAAAATGTTTAATTCAGTGTATAAATACCAATATAATACTTAAATTCTTGCTGCTGGATGTATCTCATTTTTGCTTGCATTTCTAATTGCTTCATTTTGGTATATTTCTGAAACCCATTATGCCATATGTAGTCACTGATATAATTTCTGAAATATTTTTGAAAGCAAACTTTAATTTGGGACTTCTTGTTTTTAAAAGTATTCTAAACAAATCAGCCACCTTTTTGCCAGGTATTTGGGTTGCTTTGTACAGCATATCTTAACAGGAGGAATGTGTGCAATATATATCACCTCAGTTTTGTCTGGCAATGTTACAAAAATGTTAAGATGCAATATCTTCCTTTCACTTCAAGTTGGAAAAATTACAGTATCTCTGATTTGGTGGTGTATTTATTTTTATCTATTCAGTGTAAGGGCATATGGTTAGTTAGGGGTTTTTTTATGTACATTATGTGCTTTTAGTAATTTCTGAGTATTGTCACTTTTGTGGATGCACCAGTTGTACCCATTTGCATGTTCTTTCAATATGAAGACCATGGGGAAGGGGCGCTTCAGAAAAGACTTCTGGAAACCAGAATGAGATAGTTCTAAGTCAATAAATGTAGATACTGCATCATTAACGTTTTTGGTATGGTATGGATTTTATAGCACCTATGTATGTTTGCAGTTATTAAGTTATTGCATAAATGTTTAAGAATGAGCATTTTTTCATCCAAAATTTTGTATGTTTGCAAATATATTTTTGTAATAAAACTTCAAAACAAATGTTCAGCACCTCCTAAAATCTTCCAATGTTTCCTTTTATTTCTAGAGCTCTAGTAGCCTGTTAAAAGGGTAAGTGCAGGTTTTATTTAGGGTTAATATTCTCCAGAGAAGAAACTCAAACTCTTTATTTCATACTGGGAACAAAAGCAAATTGCATTTGTTCACTAAAGAAAATGCAGCATGCTTGCTTGAAGGACAGTAGAGAATAACATCTGTCATTTGCTACAGCCTCTGGCTATCCTCTATTGCTGTAAGCAGGCTTGCGTTTTGAATTTGATAAACAGACCTATTTTCTTTCACATTAACAAATGCAGCTGCAAGTTTGTCTTATAAGTACAGCTGTAACTGATTTTAGTGCCTATCCTTATCACTCTCATTTTTATGATATCCCCTTTCATCCATCTAGACATGGCATGATACTCAAGCCAGAGTTGGTCTTTGGTCAGACATTGGAAATTGCAGTTGGCGTCTTACTATATCTGATTGGCATGAGGTTTTGTTTAATTTCAAGATCTGTTCCAACAGAACTTCTGCTATGGTTTTCCTTCTCGTCGGCTTGCCTATTTTACTTTGTGAAATTTGGATCAATCATGATACCATAGTCCCTTAATCTTGGCTAGATTCTTGCTCCCATTCTAACTACCCGTAAGAGTTAAAGATTACAAGGCATACCAATGGCAGGAGAGGCCACTGAAGAATGGTGTTTGCTGCTCTAGTTGTTAACACTGAACTGGCTCCTGTACTATATAATAAAGCAGATTCTAATAGAAGACTACTGTGCAAAACAGGTACAGAAGTCATGGATTTACTGTAAGATAATTGACAACAGGTGGAAGAGGCTAAGACCTAGAATCTAATTTCTGTTAGATATGTTACCTGTTTGGTCAATACTGAGGAAGTATTTTTTTCATTGTTGATGCTGTTAACTGTTTTGTCTTCTCTGGTTCCACATATTTTTAGTTAGTGTTATTCCTATAAAGTGCTCTCTTTAGATTTGGAAATAAGATAATACTTCTGACTTATGTGTAGCTGCAGCTAAACCAGGCACTGTACAAAAAATTTATGCAGACCAAAATCTTTTTGGCCTTTTCTTTCACTAGTGTGTGTTCTACAGCTGTGTTTTCTGAGAGTGCATGAGAACATAGTCAATCCCTACTACAGTGGTGATGCAACACTAGATAGAATTGAGTAGTAAGCATTAGGCTTCCTAAAACCCATCTACTAAAGTTCAAATTTTATTTGCAGGCTTGCAGAATGAAATAATACAGCTGGCTTTTTAGGCAAAGTTATAGCTCGTGTTCATGGGCCAAATTAATTGAAGTCAGTGGACTCATGTATTTGGTAAGGATTTAGCTATACTTCATTCTCAGTACACGAGATACTGGAGCGGTTATCATTAGTATAGTGATAAGAAACCTGTCATTCATATAACTTCATCATTTATGATCAGGATGCGGTCAAATCAGTAAATACCATCCGTAGTATAGCTGAGGTAAATTTCTGAGTTTAGTGACCTAATATGAAATTCAAATATTAGAAATTATAATGTATGTTAAACAATTTTGGAAGTTAAACAATTTCAGTGCCCAGTAGTGGATTTTTTTTCTTGGATCTTCACACAATTTCAGGTGTGAATCAGCTTTTTTTTTCTCTGTTACAGATTTTACAATTAAGGGATTTACTTTTAAACTGACCTACTAATTTAGGAAAGTTAAACTTTGGTGATAGGCCAAAGTAACTGTAACTGAAATCTGGCTCTTGTCAGTTATGCAACAATTTTTCATGTCCTCTTAGAATCATTCTTCATATGAGACTCCTACTTAGGTTCAAAAGCATTGTCAAAAGAGGTCAGTGAAGAGAGAATATTTTTATCAGTTGCTGCATTTTTGAAAGAGCACTTGCAATAAAATGGAAGGAAAAGGACCAGTAAATAGAATATTACTGAGAAGTGAACAAGGGAAGAAATAGCAAAAGAATGTAAGTAAATGTGAAAGGGAATATTGTAGAGAGACAAGTATGGCTTGTGAAGGTATTTCCTGAAGCATGAAAGAAATTAAATTTCAGGTTTGTTTCTCTAATGCTCTAATGTCGTCTTCAGGTATTCCCAAAGCTCAAATGCAGTTTGCCTGTAAGAATCCAGAATATTTCAGGGTGTGTTCAAACCCAGACTGGTTAGGCATGATTTCCCTGCTCTAGAGGTAGCAAAACATAATTTGCCAGGTCTGCTACGGGGTTTTTTAACCTCCAGTTATGAAGCAGCATAATGGAGCTGGCTGATTGATAGCAGTACCTAATTTTTAACTTTGCTTGATGGCCTCGCATTACAGCTTAAAATCTGTTACACAGAACAAGACTGCTCATACCTAGTTGCCCTTTATTTTAAAATAATTAAATACCTTTCATTTTAAGAAGACCTTAAAAGTATTTCTACCATAATCCATTCTTTCAAATTCAAGAAGCTCCATTTTACAAATTGACTTTGGGAAATACAGCCACAAAAGAATAAGCTTTCTTTATGTGCTGGCTGAAATAAAAGCGCTTGGCCTGCGGCCTTACTTAGAAACATGCAGGTATGTGATGTAAATGCACAAGTCGTCTTTCTTTTCTCCTCAAAAATGTCAAGAAACTTTAAGAGTATCTACAGAGTAAAGCTCTGCAAAACTATGGTCTCAATGTAGAGAGCATATGGCTTCCACCTCCTTTACTTCTTCTGGTTCATAAGAGGGATAGGAAAGACTCAGCAGGTTATTCATCTGACTTTCTCATGTAGACTTGAGATTTATGGATAATCCTAAATGCCTTTTCTCATTTACTTTTTAAGCATCAAATAAATTAGCTTATGTTCTCTGGGGGGTCACAGTTCTCCCATGTAACAAAACTGCTGTAAAGGAAGCTTCTGCTGTCTTAACACAAGAATTGGGTGAAATTAAAGCCTACAGGATTCAGATGGGTACAGAATCTCTTGTGGTTTACAGCGAGCCCTGCTCCTGATGATTCGAGATGGAAGACACAGGGCACCCATTATAAAGAGAGATCTCTGCTTTTCAGTGATTGAATAGGAAAATCCTGCCACAACAGATGCCCTTACAGAAAATCCAAAGGCTTGTTTAAAAACACATGGCAGTACTTCTAATAAGGGGTTCAAAATAAACAGAAATCAATACTCTGCAGAAATGAGAATAGCTGTCTGAAGGGAACTGCTAAGATAAAAGATGTAGACTGTGTACTACATAGTGACTGAGCGTGGGCCTGTGATGTAGCTCTATCTTCATTTTGGATTTAAAAAAAGCACCTGATCTTACTACTACATTAATACCTGCTCCCATGCAGTATGTATCATTATTTCTTGCAATTCTTGATGTTCTGTTGCACAGAAATCAGAGATTTTTGCATGTTAAAAATTTGATTTAGGTGATAATTTAATTATTGAAGACTAGATGAACAATCTGTTCCATGTCTAACTGAAATCACTGTATTTTTGCACATGTGGAGGGATATGCTGGTGATGCATAATGGTCTGCATAATTAGAGAACACTTTGGCATGAATCCATCTCATCCATTCTTGAACAGTTCCCTTCTTGAAGGGCTTCTAATGCAGATGTTCTTTCAAAGGGCAGGAATAGTCAAAGACTTTTCTGTCATAGAGGGCAAGCTGAAGAAAATTTCTTTCGGTTTCTTTCTTTCTGTATGCATTACAGCACAAATCTTGCTTTATTTGGTCATTACAGCTGTCTCTCCTACCTTCTTTCTAAATTTACACAACCTATGAAAGCACTGCAGTTTGAGGGATTTCTCTTAGCACGTTATTGATTATAACTTTATTCTTTTACCAAATTCAGTTATTTGAATACAATATTCATTTAAACAGAGTCTAAAGTGACTAATAACTTCCCAGCTTGTTTGAAGAGTAAGGGTTATGGAAGCTGGATTATTAAGAATCAAATAGAGAAAGCAAACATTCTGAAATGACTGTGGAACTTTTATGTATTCAGTAGGTCTTTCAAGCATAGATGCAGGCAAATGCCTCAAATTCCTACTACGTAAGTATTTCATATTTATGATAACAGATAAAGAAATTGCAACAAGTGAAAAATTCAGTTTGTATATTTACCAAAAAATATGTAAATAATACTAATATTAGCAACTGGCTAAACTAATCCAAATGCCCTCAAATATTGCTGTATTAGCATTATGAACTTCAAA